TTGCTCTCTTCTCTGCCTTCCCTTTCCTTCTTTCTTCCTTTCTTCCCTTATCTCTTCTTCCCCTTTTCTCATTCTTTCTCGCCCTTGCCTCTTCCTTTTTCGTACGCTCTCCCTATCATGATTATCATTTATCCCTTCGCTTTCTCCTTTCCTTACCTCCGTTTTATTTCTCCTTTTCCTTCTCTATCCCTACCCCTACCCCCCTCATCCCCTTCCCTTCTTCTACTCCCCCACCTCACCCAGAAGGCAACAAACTGGAATTCTCTTTTTCCCCCTTTTCCTTGTCCTCCTTTTCCCCCTTATTCTTCCTTTTTTCCCCTTTCCTCTTTTTTTCCTTGCCCCCTTTTCCTCCCCTTTTCCCTTTTTCCTCTTTTTTCCCCCTTTCCTCTTTTTTTCCTTCCCCCTTTTCCTTTACTTTCCTTCCCTTTCCTCCTTTTTTTTACTCCCTTCCCTTTTCCCTTGCCCTAATTCTATTCCCTCCACCCCCCCCACACTGCCTACTTTCTCTCTCTTCTACCTACTCCCCATCCTCTTCCTTCCCACCCCCTACGTTCTCCCTTCCCTTCTTCCCCATTCTCCCGATATTTCCTAATTCCCCTTCTTCCTCTACTCTACCTCTTCCCTCTACCTACTCTCCTCCCCACCTCCTATACCTCATCCTTTCCCTATCCTCCCTCTTCCAACCCCCACCCACCCAACCCTCCTACTCCATCCTCTCCCTATCCTCCCCTATCTTCTCCCTTCCCTTCTCCCTCATCCTCCCTCTCTCCTTCATTCTCTAGATAATCCCTTATCCCCCCCGCCCCCCGTCTGTTCCTCAACCTCAAGGTCGATTCCAGGCCAGGTAAGGATTCCTCAATGACCTATAATCCCATTCAGCTTGACAGTTCCCTAAATTAGGTCGGCCTGCGCGTGTGTGGGGGTGGGGGGTGGGAGGAGGGGGGGGAGAGGTAGAGAGAGGGAGGAGGGAAGGAGGGTGGGTGGGAGGGAGAAGGGAGGAGGGGGAGAGGTGGGTGGAGGGGAGGAAGGAGTAGGAGGGGGAGAGGGAAGGAGGGTGGGTGGAGGGGAGGAAGGAGGCGGGTGGAGGGAGAAAGGAGGGGGGGGTGGAGGGGGGTGGAGGAGGAGGAGGCGGGTGGAGGGGAGAAAGGAGGAGGGGATAGGAAGGGATGGAGGGGAGCAAGGGGAAGGAGGGGGAGGGAGCGTGGAGAGGAGGAAGGAAAAAGGGTAGGAAGGGATGGAGGGGGATGGAGGGGGAGGAGGAGGGGATAGGAAGGGAAGGAGGTGGGTGGAGGGGAGGAAAAGAAGGGGCATGAGAGGGAGGGGAAGGAAGGGCAGGATGGAGAGGAAGGGGAGGAGACTGGGGGTAGGAAAGGGGAGGAAGGAAAGGAGAGCGGAGGGAAGTGGGGGGTGGAAGGGGTAGGGGGTTCGAGAGTGCAGACTGAAGGGGGAGGGTGGGGGGACTATCCTGTGTTCGTAGACTCACGTGTTCTATTCTTCGTCTGTCCTTTATTTCTTTCCTGCTTTATATCTCTCTTCGTTTATAAACAGATGGATAGCTAGATAGATAGATAAATAGACAGACAGACAGATAGATAGACAGATAGATAGAGAGAGTGTGGTAGAAAGAAAGAGAGAGAGAGAGAGAGAGAGAGAGAGAGAGAGAGAGAGGGGGGGGGAGAGAAAGAGAGATAGAGATAGAGATAGAGAGACAGATAGAGAAATAGATAGATAAAATGAGAAAACCAAGTCCGTATTCTCCCTTTGACCTCGTGACCCAGCTTGACTTTTGAAACAATGTAATGTTTCCCTTTAGCGTTCGTCTGATTTCTTGTTCTCTTTTGTTTTAGTTCCATGAGTTTTTTTTTTTTATATCTCTTCTAGGTGTTGCTTGGGCGATTTTCTTGGGGACATTACCTTTTTCCTCTGTATTGTTATTTTTTCTTTTCTTTTTCTGTTTGCTTTGTTTTTCTGTTTTTGTTTTGTTTTTTATTCCTTTGGTATATCTACATTTGGTTTCCTTTTTTTTTTTTTTTGTTCTTTTTTCTTCCACTCTCTATCTTTATCTTTTTTTGCTTTTCTCCCTCTCTGCTTCTCCCCTTTCTCTCACTTCATCCTATTCTCTCTCTCTCTCTTACTCTCACTCTCCCCCGTTCTCATATTCTTCGTTCCCTCAATTCTCTCTTTCACTGCCTCTCCCTACCCTCTCTCTCTCCCTCCCCCTTTTTCCCTTCGTAAAAGTGGATAAAATTGGACAACAAATTCCTCATTGGCCGAAGTAGTTCCTTTATTTTACAAAAATATATAATCGGACAAATACAAGTATTTACAGTATATACAGTAAGATATGGAGAACAGTCTGTAAGCATAATATATTCACATTTACTTATCATAACCTACAAATGTGTATTGTACACACAAATTATATTAAAGCGACCATATATAATTATGGATCGTAATCAGTAACATATTTAACTACATATTGTACATACACATTGAGTTTTACAACTAAAGTTAGCATATATAAACAATCATCACAGGAAAAATTTACACATCATCTTCTGTTTCTTTTTTTATGAGAACAAAAAGAAAAACCCTCTATGGTTTTACAGACATGGAAAAGAACCATCATTTTATTCTGTGTAATTTCATATTCATTCATGTTTATTAATTTATAAAACAACTGCTGTACATTCACATTGTATCATTTGGGACACGGAAAATGGGAGGTATTTGAATAAATCCTTTGGAAGAATACACACGGTCTATTGTCTTCTCTTTACTTAAAAAATAAAGAAAAAAGAAAAAAACTCGTATAACAGAACCTAAGTTTTGGATATTTTCTTATTGAGAGAAAAAAAAAGAAAAAAGAAAAAAATAATTGTAATCATAAAGAACAGGTTGAAGCACATGTAATCGGTGTTCCCAAATGTAATCTCCAGTTTGTACACATAACAAACAATCATGGACACATTTTTTTTACTTCATGTTGTGGGTCTCAGTGAAAAGGACAGTGCTTCTAGGCTTGCAGTTTCTGTGTTAAATCTCGGCCAACCTAATATCTTGGAGAATGTCAACTGCATTTTATTTATTTTGGGGTTGACTGAGAGGGATGGCGAGCAGGATGGGGGGAAGGGACTGGGTGACAGTCTATATCATAGAATTAACATGTCTTTCTATGTAAACGAACGGGAAAGCTAAAGGTATAAATTGTTATGACAAACGTTAACTTTACGTTATATTATGTCAGAAAATGATCATGTTTTTTATAATCAATAATTGGTTATTTACTTTATTGTCACATTTGTTTAGATATGCCTGTATCATGCATAAGGAGTCAAAGTGACTGCGGTTTAGTGTACATATTAAAATCATGAACAGTGTATATCGTAATATTTTACATAAGCAGAAACATTAACACTTGTTTCCTTTGATTTAATCTTATCGGCTTCAAAATGGTATCTTTAAATAAAAAAAGCCCGATGGGCGATGCGTTTAGGAGCATGACAATCGTGACGAACAGTGACCCACGTATAAGACGCAACATGGTATCAATCGAGAATGTTCTTTATTTTCTTTCCCATCGGAGCTTTAATATCAAACTCCTCCCCACTTATATGGGCGTCTTCGAGAGCTGAATCCCGCTGACGTCTCCAGAAGTCGCAAGATGTCCCGACAAGGCTCTGAGACATCCTCAAGACGGCTGAGGTTCCCGACACTTTAACTAGGATTACTCGGCATCCGGCTAACCAAGTTGGAGTAGGTTTATCTTTTGTTTTTTTTCTGTCAATTTCTTTTTTTACGGTTGGTGTAATTTTATAAAAATCTTATAATGTCTTCCAACTTCAGTGTTTTGGTCATAAAGTCGCGTAAAATTCTATCTTCTTGAAGTCTGGAGAGGTTTCCATCTAGGGGTTCCATATATCTGTACAATTTACACTCATCTTATTTATTTGTTTATCATTTCTATCCACATACATCAATTCTTTTTTTTTGTGGGCAAGGGCTGACACTTGACCAACATTACTGATAACAAATAATATTGATTTAACACTCCTGAACGTATTTCATTTGGAGATAAGATATAATTCTACGGCTTCGAATGCAGGTCAAGAGAAGGTCACGAAGGAAAGGTCACACTTTGTTCAAACACAAACAGATTACGATGATTGATGGGTGAGTGATGGACGAAGAGACAGAGAGTTTTCTTGCCTTCTTGTGAGGTTTAACAAGATTTTTAAACATATTTTTTATGGATAGTATATATTTTTAAAAAAGACTATGAGAAGATATGACAGAAGGGATATGGACCCAAAGAAAAAAAATGAAGATACAGATTATGATATAAACGAAAACTACCATGAAGAAATGCTAAAAGCAAAGCATGGTACCTGCACAAGTTCTTGATGGTGGTGACGGTGGAGAACGATGGTAGAAAGAGGAAAGCACAATGAACATGAAAAACGACCACGACAACATAGAAATAAAAAACAAAAAAAGGAAACAGAAAGACAAAAACAGAAAAAGAAAAAATGTATATATATACATATACATACAACATATTATATATTATATATATATATATATATATATATATATATATATATATATATATTATATATATATATATATATATATATATATATATATATATTCAACAACACGTATATATGACCTCCTAGCGCACCATGACTCCACTGATGTCAGCAAGAGGATTCCGTGAAACAGGATCCCTCGGGATGTCGAGTCGGAGGACAAGCCTCCTGTGACTTCAAGATGAATGAAAGCAGATTCAGAGATTTCTTTAGAATTCTCCGTTTCCTCGAACCTTTGTGCGTTATGTGTACATGTATATACACACAGGCATATACATACATACATGTGTCTGTCTGTATATATATATATATATATATATATATATATATATATATATATATATATATATATATATATATATATATATATATATATATTATACATATATACATATATTAGATATATAATTCCATATGGCCGTGCGCATTCACACGTCACTGATTTCGTGTATTCATATGATAATGTGTGATGAGGATAATACAATATCAGGATAAAGGTCAGTTGACAAGTCCATTGGAGGCACCTCGAGAGAGCCTCAGAGCGCCCATCACAGTGCCATCACCCTTCCAGGCCCTCGCTTCGCCTATACAGAGGCACCCTTACATCAGCACCCGTGGTAATACCGGCAGGGCAAAAACTTCTCAATAATGAAAACAAAACTAAAGAGTTCACAAAAAAAGGAGACCAAAAGAAAAAGAAAAAAAACAAAGAGATGAGATGAGAAAGGAAAGAATAAACAAAAACGAGATAAAAAAGAAAGACCCATAGCCACAGACAGAGACATTACAACACGAGGACATGCAGAAGTGCAGCTCCAGCGATGAAGACGTAGCTGTGGAGGCGCTGTGTCGACACCAAGACCTCAGCGCTGTTATTTTCGTGTACGATCGCCGCTGGCTTGTCTCCTGGGAGGTGGGGGGGAAGGAGGGGGGGAAACTCATCACTAACAAAAATACTGTTCTTAGGATCCAACCGTATTGTTGGTATTTAATATAATTGTAACTAATAAAAATGATGTTCTTAGAATCGAACCGTATTGTTGGCATTTAATAAAGTTGTAAATCATTACTAACAAAAACACTGTTCTTAGGATCCAACCGTATTGTTGGTATTTAATATAATTTTAATGTTTTTGTGTGTGTTTTGAGTTTTTTTTTTTAGTGAGTGTTGTGCTTTATGAGAGATGTTTGTGGTTGACAAGGAACGCTGTCAAAAAATTGTGTTTGCGACCAAACCGTATTGTTGAAGTTATAGTTTTACTTCGTGTGGTTCAGTTAATGTTAGTGTGGAGGAGGAGGAACAAGAAGAGGAGGTGGAGGAAGAGGAACAAGGAGAAGAGGATGAGGTGGATGTGGAGGATAAGGATGATGGTGAGGATGAGGAAGAAGTGTAGGAGGATGAGGAAGAAGAAAAAGTGGAAGAGGAGGAGGAGGAAGAAGAAGTGGAGGAGTAGGAGGAAGAAGAAGTGGAGGAGAAGGAGGAAGAAGAAGAAGAAGAAGTGAAGGAGGAGGAGGAAGAAGAAGTGGAGGAGGAGGAGAAGGAGGAGGGGAGGAGGAAGAAGAAGAAAAGGAAAAATAAGAAGAGGAAGAGGAGGAGGAGGAGGAAGAAGAAGAAGAAGAAGAGGAATTGTGGTTCTTGAGTGTAGCTTGTGGTCAACAATGGCACCCCTCACCAATAAAAATAATACTGTTCTCATGATCGAACTATATTGCTGTTGTGGTTTAGTGAGTGTTGTTAATATGGGAAAAATGGTTTGTTGTTAATAGGTGTTGTTATTATGGTAAAATAGTTAGCGAGAAATACGTATTATTGACGTGAAAACAGGTGTTTGTGGCTTACAAGTATCATTACTACGCAGACACGCGTTTATTTGATAATATTTATATGTGTGAAAACAAGTATTTGTGGCTAACAACAACTGGTTGTGTGATAACCAACAGTTTAATATTTAATATTTAATATTGCATTATATATGAATGATAAGAGAAACATTTTTCATTCCAAATATATTTCTGAATGAAAGAAATACCAAAGAATTACATGTACATCAATTATGAATTTTATTATATTAATCCTATTCTATATTAATTATGCAAAGAAAAAATAGAGAAATAAAAACAATTAATAATTGACGCTAAATCTAACTACAGAGAATCAGGAAAAAATAAAAAATAAACAAAGCAAAATCAAGATGAATAAATAAATAACAAATAGAAAATATTGTGAATAAGTAATTACAAAAATAACCAACAGATAAAGAAATAAATCGAAGGGTAAACGAATGAATTAAAAATTCAATAAATAAACTGAATGTATGAAGACGCATACAGAAAAAAGATAGATAGATAAATGAATAGATAAATAAACAAATAAATATATATGCATATATATATATATATATATATATATATATAATATATATATATATATATATATATATATATATTATATATATAATCGACAACTAGACAAAAAAATCTATAAATAAATGCATAAATTTATACATAAAAAAACATCAAAAAGATAAAATCAAAGGATCCCTTTCCAAACCAAGACATACACACTAACAATTTTGAGTTTAAAAATAGAGACACAAATAATAATAATGGCAAAAAATAAAACAACACCAAAGAAAGTACGTCAATGAGAAGATAAACAGACAAACATATAAATAGATGATTAAATAAACACATTAAGAAAAATCTAAATAATAGATTATAAAATGACCCAGCGCCCCCTCCCGCCAAGGACGCTGAAACTCATGGACTTGTAAATAGAAACACAAATAACTTAAAGTATAAGTAAATAAGTAAGTACAGAAATGATTGAATGGATAAACACACACGAACGAGTAGATCATGAGACATAATTTATCTTATACTAATATAAAAGAAGAAAAGTCTAAACTATAAAAGATTAAAATACAACTCATTTCTTTAAGTAAATAATTATAAAAACAATGAGAAAAATCTAACTAAAAATCGCAAGAAATGAAAAATAAAGAAAAAGAAATGAAAAAAAAAGAAAAACCAAGAGAGAAGGAAAGAGAGAGAGAGAGAGAGAGAGAGAGAGAGAGAGAGAGAGAGAGAGAGAGAGAGAGAGAGAGAGAGAGAGAGAGAGAGAGAGAAGAGAGAAGAAAGAGAAAGAGAGAGAGAAAGAAAGAGAAAGAGAAAGAGAGAAAGAGAAAGAGAAAGAGAAAGAGAAAGAGAAGAGAAAGAGAGAAGAGAAAGAGAAAGAGAAAGAGAAAGAGAAAGAGAAAGAGAAAGAGAAAGAGAAAGAGAAAGAGAAAGAGAAAGAGAAAGAGAGAAAGAGAAAGAGAAAGAGAAAGCGAGAGAGAAAGAGAGAGCGAAAGATAGAAAGAGAAAGAGCGAAAGAGAAAGAGAGAGAGAGAAAACAACAACAGAAAGAAAAACAAAAAGAGAGAAAGATAGAAAAAAAAAAAAAAAAAAAAAAAAAAAAAAAAAACACGAAATGACCCAGCCCTCCTTACCAGCCAGGACATGCACGTTGACACTCTTGGGCTTGGAGTTGGCGGGTGCGCACGTGTACACGCCGGAGTGCCTGGGCTCGGCGAACTGCACCAGGAGGCGGGAGGTCGTCACCAGCCCCTTCTCGGTTGACACCACCACGCCCCCGCGGGTCCTGTCGTAGCTCACCAGCTGTTAGGGAGAGGCAAGGAACGTTTGTTTGGTTATTAGAAGGGGGTGTGAGGCGAGGAAACGTTTGTTTGTTTATTAGAAGGGGGTGTGAGGCGAGGAAACGTTTGTTTGTTTATTAGAAGGGGGGTGTGAGGCGAGGAACGTTTGTTTATTAAAAGTGTGAGGCGAGGAAACGTTTGTTTATTAGAAGGGGGTGTGAGGCAAGGAAACGTTTGTTTGTTTATTAGAAGGGGGTGTGAGGCTAGAAACGTTTGTTTGTTTATTAGAAGGGGGTGTGAGGCGAGGAAACGTTTGTTTGTTTATTCGAAGGGGGTGTGAGGCAAGAAACGTTTGTTTGTTTATTAGAAGGGGGTGTGAGGCAAGAAACGTTTGTTTGTTTATTAGAGGGGTGTGAGCAATGTTTATTAGAAGGGGGGTGTGAGGCAAACGTTTGTTTGTTTATTAGAAGGGGGTGTGAGGCAAGGAAACGTTTGTTTGTTTATTAGAAGGGGGTGTGAGGCAAGAAACGTTTGTTTGGTTATTAGAAGGGGGTATGAGGCAAGGGAATGTTTGTTTGTTTATTAGAAGGGGTGTGAGGCAAGGAACGTTTGTATGTTTATTAGAAGGGGGTGTGAGGCAGAAACGTTTGTTTGTTATTAGAAGGGGTGTGAGGCAAGAAAGTTTGTTTGTTTATTAGAAGAGGGTGTGAGTCAAGGAAACGTTGTTTGTTATTAGAAGGGGTGTGAGGCAAGAAACGGTTTGTTTATTAGAAGAGGGTGTGAGTCAAGGAAACGTTTGTTTGTTTATTAGAAGGGGGTGTGAGGCAAGAAACGTTTGTTTGTTTATTAGAAGGGGGTGTGAGGCAAGGAAACGTCTGTTTGTTTATTAGAAGGGGGTGTGAGGCGAGGAAACGTTTGTTTGTTTTATTAGAAGGGGTGTGAGGCAAGAAACGTTTGTTTGTTTATTAGAAGGGGGTGTGAGGCAAGAAAACGTTTGTTTGTTTATTAGAAGGGGGTGTGAGAGGAAACGTTTGTTTGTTTATAAGAAGGGGGTGTGAGGCAAGAAACGTTTGTTTGTTTATTAGAAGGGGGTGTGAGGCAAGAAACGTTTGTTTGTTTATTAGAAGGGGGTGTGAGGCAAGGAAACGTCTGTTTGTTTATTAGAAGGGGGTGTGAGGCGAGGAAACGTTTGTTTGTTTATTAGAAGAGGGTGTGAGGCAGGAAACGTTTGTTGTTTTATTAGAAGGGGGTGTGAGGCAAGGAAACGTTTGTTTGTTTATAAGAAGGGGGTGTGAGGCAAGAAACGTTTGTTTGTTTATTCGAAGGGGGTGTGAGGCAGGAAACGTTTGTTTGTTATTAGGGGGTGTGAGGCAAGGAACGTTTGTTGTTTATTAGAAGGGGGTGTGCAAGAAACGTTTGTTTGTTATTAGAAGGGGGTGTGAGGCAAGAAACGTTTGTTTGTTTATTAGAAAGGGTGTGAGTCAAGGAAACGTTTGTTTGTTTATTAGAAGGGGGTGTGAGGCAAGAAACGTTTGTTTGTTTATTAGAAGAGGGTGTGAGTCAAGGAAACGTTTGTTTGTTTATTAGAAGGGGGTGTGAGGCAAGAAACGTTTGTTTGTTTATTAGAAGGGGGTGTGAGGCAAGGAAACGTCTGTTTGTTTATTAGAAGGGGGTGTGAGGCAAGGAACGTCTGTCTGTTTTATTAGAAGGGGGTGTGAGACAAGGAAACGTTTTGTTTGTTTATTAGAGGGGGTGTGAGGCAAGAAACGTTTGTTTGTTTATTAGAAGGGGGTGTGAGGCAAGAAACGTTTGTTTGTTTATTAGAAGAGGGTGTGAGGCAGGAAACGTTTGTTTGTTTATTAGAAGGGGGTGTAATGCAAGGAAACGTTTGTTTGTTTATTAGAAGGGGGTGTGAGGCAAGAAACGTTTGTTTGTTTATTAGAAGGGGGTGTGAGTCAAGGAAACGTTTGTTTGTTTATTAGAAGGGGGTGTGAGGCGAGGAAACGTTTGTTTATTAAAAAGGGAGTGTGAGGCGAGGAAACGTTTGTTTATTAGAAGGGGGTGTGAGGCGAGGAAACGTTTTTGTTTATTAGAAGGGGGTGTGAGGCAGGAAACGTTTGTTTGTTTATTAGAAGGGGGTGTGAGGCAAGAAACGTTTGTTTGGTTATTAGAAGGGGTGTGAGGCAAGAAACGTCTGTCTGTTTATTAGAAGGGGTGTGAGGCAAGAAACGTTTGTTTGTTTATTAGAAGGGGGTGTGAAGCTAGAAACGTTTTTGTTTGTTTATTAGAAGGGGGTGTGAGGCAAGGAAACAAGGGGGTGTGAGGCAAGAAACGTTTGTTTGTTTATTAGAAGGGGGTGTGAGGCAAGAAACGTTTGTTTGTTTATTAGAAGGGGTGTGAGGCAAGAACGTTTTGTTTGTTTATTAGAAGGGGTGGAGGCAAGGAAACGTTTTGTTTGTTTATTAGAAGGGGGTGTGAGGCGAGGAAACGTTTGTTTGGTTATTAGAAGGGGGTGTGAGGCAAGGAAACGTCTGTCTGTTTATTAGAAGGGGGTGTGAGGCGAGGAAACGTTTGTTTGTTTATTCGAAGGGGGTGTGAGGCAGGAAACGTTTGTTTGTTTATTAGAAGGGGGTGTGAGGCAAGGAAACGTTTGTTTGTTTATTAGAAGGGGGTGTGAGGCGAGAACGTTTGTTTTGTTTATTAGAAGGGGGTGTGAGGCAGAAACGTTTGTTTGTTTATTAGAAGGGGGTGTGAGGCAAGAAACGTTTGTTTGGTTATTAGAAGGGGGTGTGAGGCAAGGAAACGTTTTTTTCTTTATTAGAAAGGGGTGTGGTTTGGTAGAGTGGTAGGTGTGGTATGAGAGGAGTGTGGTGTGGTATGAGAGGGGAGTGGTGTGGCAGGAGAGGGGTGTGGTTTGGTAAGGTTGTTGTGTGGTAGGTGTGGTAGGAGAAGGGTGTGGTAGGAGAGGGGTGTGGTTTGTAGGTGTCGTATGAGAGGGTGTAGGTGTGGTAGGAGAGGGGTGTGGTTTGGTAGGTGTGGTAGGGTTTTATAGGTGTGGTAGGAGAGGGGTGTGGTTTGGTAGAGTGGTGGTGTGGTAGGTGTGGTAAGGAGAAAGAGGGGGAAGGTGGGTTTGAAGGAGCGGTGTGGTAGATATAGTAGAAAAGAGAGGGGGAAGGAGAGATCTTCAAAAGTGTTGTGGTAGGTATGGTGAGGTTTTTCAGAAGTGTGGTTGGGTAGAGAGGTGATGTGGTAGAGGAGGGGAAGGAAGGTTTTCAGAAGTGGTGTGATTAGTCAGGTTGTGGTATATGTGTTAGGAGAAAGAGAGGAAATTATGGTATTTAGAAGTGGTGTGGTTTTGTAGATAGGTGTTGTGGTACGTGTGGTAGAGAGAAAGAGAGGACGGTATTTAGAAGTGATGCGGTTTGGCAGAATGGTGTTGTGGTAGGTGTGGGAGAGAGAGAGAGGAAAGGACGGTATTCAGAAGTGGTATGGCTTGGCAGAGTGGTGTTGTGGTAGGTGTGGTCGGGGAGACGGAAGGGCAGAGGGAGTCAACACGTGGTAAATCTTGTTTGAAACGTGTTAGACGGTATTGCGAACGTGGCCAGAACATGATAAGAACGTGTTAGAGGATGTTAACAAAGACAACTGAATGGGTCTTAAAACCGTATCAATCCTTGGGCAAGACCTTTCCAGATTTTTGTTGATATAGTGATACGTCAGGTTTATTGTGACGTGAGAGAAAGTGAAAGATGTGTAAGGATCTTCCGGTAAGTCCTGTAGAACAGTGTTGTCCAAAGTGGGGTCCGCAACATAGATCATAAGGGTACGTGAACAAGCATTAACTTGTTTAAGTATTTTTAAAGCATTTTGTTATTGAATCCTTTTTATTCGTTTATTAAATTCGAGTTTATTGATAAACACTCCTGCAATGCAGTCTTTTCATAATTAGTATTTTATTTGCATTATCCTAAATAAAACTGTTTAGCCATCGTGGACGGGGGTGGGGAGGGGGGCTATGTAACGGCACAAGGTAATAAGGGGTACAATTGGCAAAAATGTTTGGACAACACTACTGTAGATGATGCTGTCTAGATGTATCAAATGTGTTTATAATCTGTGAAAATAGCATAGTAGGATATATGGTCGGAGGATGAGGTACATGATTAATTTTTGGACTTGTTTGGGACGTGTTTCAGACATGTTATAGAGGTATCTAAACGGTGCATTTGAATGTGATATTGTTTGGTACTAAAGGGTGTAAACTTGTACAATAGATGGACTGTGTTAAAGTATAATTAAGTTTATGAAATATTAGTAATTTATCATTACAATTGCTTCCACCATTATTAATAGAATTTATATTATTATCATAATAATTAGCAATGTTACTTTTTATTATATTATTCATGATTTTCATCACATCCTCATTGTTATTATTAATATCAAAACCAGTACTTACGTTGTAATCATTACCTTTATTAATGTTATTATTATTGACGGTTTGTTGTTATTCTGTATCTCCTCCTCCTCCTCCTCCTCCTCCTCTCATCATCATCATCATCATCATCATCATCACCATCATCATCATCACCATCATCATCATCATCATCATCATCATCATAATCATCATCATCATATCATCATCATCATCATCATCGTTATCTTCCTCCTTTTCATCATCATCATCAGTATCATCATTATTATTGCTATTACTGTTATTTCACATCATCATTTCCAGTTGCAGTATCCTCACCATCATCGTCACCACCGTGAGCACCACTCATCATCAATATTCTCATCATCATCATCATTACCCACTTTATCGGCATCACTGATAAAATGACTTTTTCATTTACATTATGACTATTACATTTATCATCATATATATTTTTATCAATTGAGCAACGCTAAAAAAATCAGATTAATAACGATAATAAAAAAAACATAATAAAAGAGAAGAAGAACTGGAACACGAACCGGAGGAAATGAGAAACAGAAAGAAGAAGCCAAAAGAATAAGAGGAAGAAGAAGAAAACAAATTAAGGAAGAGAGATATAGGAGAGGAGAAAATCAAAGACGAAACCAAGAGAAGAATAAGAGGAAGAATAAGAAGAAAAAACAAAGAAAGAGAAAAAGGAAACGAGAAACTGGAAGACGAAATGAAGGAGAAGACACGTAAACGAAGGGACGGAAAAGATAAACCGTAAAGATAATGAAAAGGAATAAATGAATAACCAAAGAAGAAAAAAAAAAAATACGAAGGGGAAGAAATGCAGAGAGACAAAAAATATATGATAAATTAGATAAGAAGAGAAAGAGAAGAAAAGCAAACCTAAAATAAAAAAACACGAAGAAAACGAGAAGAAAAAGAAAATAAGAACCAGCAAGATGAAGAAAAAACAAGAACCAGAAAAAAGTCGAGGGAAATAAGAACCGAAAAAAACATAAAATGAGAATAAAAAAAGACAAAGAAAACGAAAATAAAAAGACAAAGAAAACGAAAATAAAAGACAGAAAACGAGAAAGAAAAAAAAACAGAAAACGAGAAGGAAAAAATGCAGAAAACGAGAACAAAGAGACAAAGAAAACTAAAAGAAAAAACAGAAAACGAGAAGAAAAAAATAAAGAAAACGAGAAGAAAAAAGGACAAAGAAAACGAGAAAAACGGAAAACGAGAAGAAAGAGGACAAAGAAAACGAAAGCCAGATCAGCGAAGAAAAAGAAGAAAATCGAAAACGAGAGAAACGTAGAGCAAGGTAAATAAAGAGAAACAGAAGCGAAAATGGAAAAAAAGTTTATGAGGAAGCGGCAATGAAGAAAAGGTGATGGGTGAGTGTTTATCTTTTCCAGGAAGAACAAACTTTTGCCTTTCGTCTTGAACCCGAGGCGCTAAAAGACAGGAGGAGGAG